AACTCTGCCCTGCATATAACCCTCACCCCTAATTTTAACTCTCCAAAAGAAAAAAATGCAAACAACCTGCACCCCCTTTTTTCTTAGTTTTTTGCTGCTGGTTATATGGGAGAAGATACGCTATACTTCATCTCCAAACAAACATATATTCATTCTATTGGTATTGAACTAATCGATAGCTAGGCTCAAGTGTGACTCTAATTGTAAATGTGGGTAAATCATTAAGCACTGCCTCTCCATCTGTCCTTATTATGACTAAACAATGCTCCTCTTTTTAGGTAAACATGACTCCAGAATGTATCCTAATAAGAGCTACTTGACTTTGAAGTGGCAGGAATATGCTGTGACAAAGTGCAGTGGAGCTTACAAGGTGCACCTGCTTGAGTTGCTATCTGTGAACCTACTGCGCATCCTCTTGAATGTGACACTCTTTTTTTTTCTTAATTTTCTACATCATGGAGGTTATCGAAAAATGAAAGAATGTGCCCCACATTTGAATGACTGATAGAGCTGGCACTTGAGCTAGAGCGTTTTTGTGAATTGAAATGATCAAAACAGAATGGGAGTAGATATTCGCCTGACATCCGGCCGGCAGTCTCTCCTCATTGGCCTGCTGTAGTCACATGATAATTGAATTGAATTAAGTTTATTGCACAACAAGGTTGCGAGGAGACCAGGCGAAAAATCTGCACTGAGAAGCTTGAGGAGAACCTGGCCACCTCACACACTGAGCGGTTACTGCAATTCAAGGCATGCCTTACACCTAATGCATAAACAGAACAGCGGAAACAGTAAGCAAACATGGTAAGAAATACAGAACAAGGATATTGTGCAAACATAGCATGCCGGCATCCTGTGGCAAGAAGTGATTTGCCGGTACGGACATTTGCCGAGTTTTTTTTCGCTAGTGGCTGTCAAACAAGGTGCCGGCACTTAGTGCAAGAACAATTATATGCTGGTAGTTTTACTTGCCCACGGCATCAACGTTTATAGAACATAAACGTTGCACGGCATAGCAGGGCACGTACCCTCTGCTGAAAACGCCCGCCGTGACAGCACCAGTCGTCAGGTTGTGGTCTCCGTACTAAAAACAGCTTTGTCGGCAAGGAGATTTGACGAGTTTATTTTCTCTGTCGGCCGCGAAGCAAAGAGTGCCGGCATTCATATATACCGGTAGTTTAAATTAATCACGGTGGCCGTCCAGGTGATATCGCGCCGACAGCATCTCTCAATTAACGCAGCGGAACGGGCACCAAAGAGCTGCGCTCTAAAACACTGACCAGAATAGAAGAGGAATCGATTTGAGTGAGAAATAGCATTTCACACATTTAATTATTCTACCTTGATTGGTGTTTTTCTTTAATGTTAATTTTTGCTGGTACACCTGCAATGCACTTTGGCGCCACCATAAGTAGCTACTGGGCAGGTTCATTGGCAGGTTGTACTGGTGCCATCAGCTTGCTTTCGCTACCCGAACTGCTGTTAGTTATTTGCGAGTTCCGATTCATTTGCGGCGGGCTGAAATCATGCTAATATGTTATTTGCCCAATTGAACCTGCTGCCTCTGCGCTAAATACAGGCACACTTGACGGCCTGCCATTCGCAAACGCATTTTTGCCGGTCAAACCACAACCGCACAACTTGTGCCTCGCAGTAGCCATAGCATGTTTTTAGAGAAAGCTGTGTCATATAGCTCCAGCAAAGCTAATACCGAAGGCTCCATAGAAGCCCATATGTATACGTTCAGAAAATGGCGGTTGATCAGCTGCTCTGATCATGGTGGCAACAGCTTCTGAACCGCCTTTCGCCCGAGCCTTTGCGACCTATTTGAGTAGACCTTGGCTCCAGCGCAGAACCCCCCCTCCCCCCTCTAAAAGAAAGAAAACAAGAAAAAATGCAGAAAGACAGAAAGACAGACAGACACCAAAATTTTTGCCTCGAAGGCCCCTAAGAAATACTATCGTCTTTAAAAAGCCCCCACCTTCCCAAAGGGAATCCCAAGGAAATGCAGGTGCATTGTGAAGCGTCCGTAACGGCGTTTCGGACGTGAGAACCCAGTGTTAGAAGAGTAATGGGCAAGGTTCTGTTTGGCGTTGCATATCTCAATTTCCAGACTTTGGGGTGGTTGTTGCCAGACTGCCGCCAGATTTGGCAGAGAAATTTGCCCCTGTAGTTTTTACTTCCCCGTGAGTGCTTTATGTCGTCCATGGTGCATGTCGGCGCCTGCTGTGCATTTCGCGAGTGCGTATGCGATGAACTTGTTCGCGTGTGCGATGTTGGCCATTTTAATTAACGGAATGAACCGCGTGTTGCAGAATTCGGGGCGCGTTCTCTGTGTGCGCAGCTGTGCAAATAAGAGATCGTGTCTCAGTATTAGGAACGACGCGTATGACTTAAGGGGAAGCGAACACTCGTGTCGCCGAAGCACAGAATATCTCCGTAGCGGTGCATACCTAGTCGAATGCGCACAACCACGCATCTTCTGGGGAAAGTGAATAGAGTCGCAGCAGGTGGTGCGCTTCCTTTTCTGATCGTGTCTGACGATCATATCTCAGAAGTAGGCTCTCTGCACAGCTGATCGTGCCGCGTCGACCACGCGCGACGACTAGCTGTGTCAGCATAAGGCATATCGTTCGGACTCTGGACTCTATTCAATTTCCCCGGCAAACGCGTCGTTGTGCGCAGTCGACTAGGTACGCACAGTTATGGAGATATTCCGTGCTCCGGCGACGCGGCTAACGAATTCACTTCCCCGCATTCATACGAGTCATCTCTAATACTGATTGATACACGATCTCCTAATTGCACAGCTGCGCACACAGCAAGAGAATGCGCTCCGACTTCTGCAACGCGCGGTTCATTCCGTTAATTAAAACGGCCAACGTCACTAACGCACTCGCGAAATGCATTGCGGACGACACAAAACCCTCACGAAAGTCACAACTACTAGGACAAAATTTTTTGCCAAATCTGGCGGCAGTCTGGCAACACTGACTCCTGAAGTCTGGCAACAGTTTATGCAACGTCAAACAGAACTTTGCTGAATCATTTTTTTCTAATGTCAGCGTCTTATAAACGCAAACGCTGGCAGCACAAACGCTACAAACGCATTGCATTGAGGCGGTGGCAAGTCACGTTCAAGTCAAGCAGGTGGGGGGCTCCGGTTGCTAGGGGTGCGCGCGCCCGCAGCTGTTGCTATAAGAGAGGGCGGTGGACGGATCCCGAGGGACGCCTGACATAGGTGTACTCCGACATAGGTTGAAAAGCACGTATACTAGGGAAAGGCGCAACCGCGATCCTTGCGGGGAGGAAACTCATTCTGCCTCAGACGTTGCGTTGCAAAGCTCCTCCATTCGCACCACTAGGATGTTGGCACAGAAAATTACTGCCACATTTATCCTAATTTTTCAAGTGGAGTTACCAGCTAGGTATATTTTCCGCTGATAAGAATATCGGCGACAAAATTAAATGATCTATTAATTGTTTCCATTTTTTCGCAAACCTGACATAACGGTGACGCCTATTTAGACCAGCTTTATGTAAAAAATAATTTAGTTGTGGAATTCTACAACGCAATTGATATGGTATAAATAACTTCCAGCTGCCGTGTTGCGCACCACTGTCTATTCCAGCAGCATCTTAGATGTGCAAAATCTCGAAATTTATCCAATGAGAAGGAGTTGATTTCATTATGCAAACAAAAGCTTCTAAACCTTATTGCTGTCGCGCAACCCGTATCAGGCAAAATCGAGATAAGGGGAGCGCTAAGAGATACTGTGGCTAGTGCATCCGCCATCTCATTAGATATATGCCTCGATGGTTTGGTACCCATAACCAAAAAGTTTCTGCAAGTTTGTCGGTATGAGTTGTCGAAACATACGCATAAGTGTGAAGTTGGTTCCCGATACGGAGCAGCACGTACTGAAAAAGAATCTGCAATTACGACTGCTTCTGATTCGCCCGAAGGGAGTTTTCGCAGTGCCAGTATACAACAGCAAATAATTCTGCTATGAATATTGGTGTGTAATCCGGAAGCCTAACCGAAAAGGACCAGTCAAGGGAACGCGCAAAAAGGTAATTACCTACCCCAGCCTTTTCATTTGATACGGATGCATCAGTTGCAATTATGTTTCTCATGTTCACGTGTGCCAAGTAATCCTGTAGCCGATTATTTAAATATTGGAATGACATTTAATTTCCGTTAGAGGGGTAAATATTCTCAAATTCTATTCGAAGGTCTAAATTAAAGTTACTTTTTGAGGAAACATATTTGATTCCGATGTCCAGTGGTTCCAGCAGCGTTTGAACGAATGTGATTTGTGGCGAGTGGAATCGCGACCACGGAGTTTCAAAAAATAAGCTTGGCTCTTTAATGAAAGCATAACGCGAATCTCTCCGGGGCGAAGTGTATAGTTTTGAAAATGTTTGGATAGTAAGTATTTTGAATCTATTTAACAATGAAGAGAGATGCGCTTCCATGTAGAGCACATTGCTAGCAACAAACTTGGGCAGTCCAAGGCACAATCGAAAGCTTCCCTTTCTAACAGTATTAGCGGTCTTATTTTATAAGTCGCACACCCAGAAAATAACGCACAGCCAAATTCCATGATAGGACGCATCTACATTTTATAAAGCATTACCACTGTATTTATTCGCAACCCCGTTTTTTTATTGCTGAGCTTGCGTAACCACCCCATGGCTTGTGTTGCCTTGGACCCAATTTGGTCGATGTGACTTTTCCTATTTAACGAGCTGTTATATTAGGGCCTTCTTCTTTTAACCACTACCACCACCATCCCATAATTACCACCCTCAGGCATGTGAGAAACTGCCAAAGCTACCCGAACTGGGAAAATCAAAGAAACTTAGTTATTACTACGATGCGCTACAACGTAACAGTAGATAATTACGTTAGAGTGTTGTTTAATTACGATGCTTCAAAAGAAATTTTTGTCATGGCATCCATCTTCATCGTCATCATTGGCTCTTCACGTGATCAAAATGGCGTTCTACATGCACGGAAGCACGGGCACGGAACCATGCTCAAGCGACTAAAGCATGCCGCATCTGAAATCTTTTAGAGCTGTGCACGCTAGCTTTGAGCGTTTCCTCTGTCATATAGGAGCAACCTTTATCTATTGTGAATAAATGCATGCGAGTGCAAAGTAGAATATGTTCAACCTGTTTATGTTGCATGGTTGATACCAGGGCGTGCTGATAACGTATTTGAAGACTTCAAACGAAAAAATGAAGGCTGTCAAACGCACTCTGCACCAACAACAAGAATCCTGCAGTCACAAGAAAAGTGCGTGGAGCCCCAAAGTTTGCGAAGTTGGTACCTCCTCACGGGCAGGCGCCCGCCAACGTTCGAATCGCATTGAGGACAGAAGTGACCACGTTCAGTTTTCACCGTCTCACCACGTTGACAAGGACACGAAATCCTACTTTACAATGGCATGTGAAAGATTTCAAGAGGAGTTCGAGGATGATGAAGATAAAGGTAGTTGATTCGATGCGTGATACTCGTGCGATCCTGAGCTGTGGGGCTTTTTAATTTAAATTTAAGAACTGTCTATGGCGTCGGCAGCCGGTAAAGCAGGGTGCGCGGGATACTTCCCCCACTTCGTCTCCATTGGCTGGCTACAGTCACGTGACCAAACTGCCGGTATATCTGCTTTAGTGGGTAGTGCCGGCACAGTACACCACTGGGAAGTTTGCCAGCAGCCGACACTGTAGACTGCATGGGAACTTGCTGGTAGCTGGCAAAGGCACTTCTGAGAATATGTGTGTTAGCACCGATTAATTCACAAGATTTTATGCAATATTGACAAGCATGAAAACCGTGCAAAAATGTGATTGTGGAATGTGCAAAGATGGTTTAGACAACTATGACTCTATCATGTGCGACTGGTGCCTTTCATAGTATCACTCGCCCTGTCTGCATTTGAAAAAAGCAGCCAAAAGATAGTCTGGTAATGTTTTAATTGCTAATGAGTTATTGTTCAACGAAGTGAAAGAACTTATTTGTAGTTGTACCTAATTTATCTTTATTGTGTAAGTGGTGAATAAATTGTATCATGTCCCAGGTCGAATGAGCTGCCGTGAAAAACTGCAGTAGTGGAAACGTGATCATGCAGTGTTCAATGAAAAAGCGATTAACAAATTCAAAGTGAGAAATTACAAGATAGAATGGGCCAGATAACAGATGAGTGTAGTTGATACTAAGTTTGATATTAAGCAAAATAAATGGACTGAGCCAGCCACATAATGCATAGGATAGACATCAAGGGCTCGCTAGAAAAGAATCCGTGGATTGCAGTGAGTTAGATGGAGCAACGAAGTCAGGAAGTTCACATATGAACAAAATGAGACCAGCTCACAATAGGCAGGGCTAAATAGATAATTTGTTGAAGCCTTCATTTTGCACTGGACCTAAACATTGGCTGAGAATAGTGATGAATGATGACTCAATACATTACATATATGCATATATATGATATATGCAAGGCATTCGTCTGGTCTTTATAGTGCCGGCCTTGTGTACATCTGAGAAAGCAGCTATAAGCATTAAACCAGCTGTGATAAACAGACTGCTTTGGAATAATGTACCCTGTTTTTATATTTTGTGTGTGAGTGTTAATAAAGTGTAACTTATCTTTTGTTTAATTTTTACTTGAAATACAAGTGGTGTGCATCTTCTTGAGAGGCATAGAGATGTACAAAACATTAAATTCAAGGGAATTGTAGAACAGAATGCAAGTTGAGCATGTGCTGAATCTAACACTTTAAAGGGTGCTATGTATTTAATATTGTGAACAGGAAGTGAGCCCAAATACACATCAAGTCAGACTTAGCCACGAAAAGCAATCCTTTTTTGTTCTAAGTTTGCACCACATACTATTATCATGAAGATGAAAAAGTTAAATTTCTTTTGGTTGTTCGCTGCGTTTTTGTAAGAGAAATCTTTCTGTGGGGTGCTTAGTAAATAGCATTACAAAACTACACAGTGACCTACTTTGAGCCTAGGATGTCAATATATAATGAAATCTTGTGTAATAATCGGTGCTAAGACACATGTTCTCAGATGTACATGCTTTTGCCAGCTGCCGGCAAATCTCCACGGAGTCGATGCCAGCTGCGGGCACTACCACACTAAAGCAAAGACACCGGCAGTTTGGCCACATGACTGCAGCCAGCCAATGGAAACGAAGTGCAGGCAGTATCCTACACAGCCTGCTCTGCCGGCTCTCGGCAACATAGACAGTTGCTTAATTTTATTTGATGTGTGTGTTGATGTGGCGCCCGCAGGAGAGACCGAAGCTTGCGAAACTTCAGTCGCTTGAGTAACTAGCTTTGAACGTACAGGTGCTCCAAAAGCAACACGGAGCACGTAAGCTCTGGCCAAGCTGCGCAAAAGTGAATGCCAGCGCACTCCATCAAAGAAGTGGTTCCTTATTTTTATGCGGATATGTGCCAGAAGGTTGTGCCATCATTTCTAAATAAAAATAAAGAACCACTTTTCTCATGGAATGCGCTTGCACTCACTTTTTCATAGCTTGGCCACTGCTCAAATGCTCCGTTTTACTCTTGAAGCACCTACCTTATGCACATTAATTGCGTCAAGTTCCTTAAGTGAAACGACCTGTTGATAGAAGTTCACCATTTTGATTATCTTGCCCATCCCTTTTGCACCCAGTGCTAGCCTTCGGTGTTCTCTTCCAGTTTTCATTGAGGCCCAGCCGTCTTGATCCAGCCACTTCACACTGTAGTACAGCCAGCCAGACTGTCAGTCATGGTGTGAATTGTATCAGCGCATCATTTTTTTATTAGCTTCATTAGTTGGTTTCATAATTATTTGGGGCCTCCAATTATGAGTTGCTTTGTTGAAAGTAAATGGGAATGCATTGCAGAAGTTCAAGCTTGGTGTGTTTCTTCAGCTGTGCTTATATGTGAAAGCTGGGTAAAACTGCATCTACAAATTAATGTGTGCTGTGTGCACATATTTCACATAGTATTTTCTTTTAGCGAGTTGTGCTATCATGATTTATTTTATTTTTTTCAATGTGCTGCAGGCTTAAAGGGCTATTGCAGGAGTAGAGGCAGAATACGAAAATTGCAGTACAACACAAATTGTACAGAGCATGACGATCAGTGGTTAATGTATGCACAAAATAAATTCATTATATGGTGGAGGAATAGTGCAGATAAAAAAAATTATATTTGTACGCATTTGTTTGGTGATGGAAGAAAACCTGAAAGAAAGTGAATGTAAGCCAGTTGGTACATATCCATAGATAAAAACAGCGCAAAGTAAGTACAGACAAAAATTCGCGCAGGATCAGCACTGAACACCGCACTGTTACCGTGTTCAGCTCTGGTTCTCTGTGAATTCTTGTCGGTGTTTACTACTGGTCCTGTGTTTAGCACTGGTCTTGTTTTCAGCACTGGTCCTCTGTGAATTCTTTTTGTTGCTAACTTCATGCTGTTTTTAACTATGCTTTGAAAGGAGACATGTTCAACTGATGATGATGTCTGGTGTATGTTGGTTTGGCATGTCTGATGCAGTTGCTGAGTGAATGAAATCGTGGACAGTGAATGAGAGTATAAGGAAACTTTAAAAATTCAATGTGATAATGAGAGGAGGGAGTAGTAGGCTAAAGAATATGAAGATGAGAACTACTGTAAAATGCCGAGCAAGGCCCCCCCCCCCCCCCTCGTACGATGAGGGATAATCTGACTAAATTTGGAGGGGGGCGCTGGCTTGGTCCCGGACCGAAATTCAAGATGGTGGTGGGAGTAGAGATGTGCACGGGCCATGATTTCGCGGCTCGGCCCGATGCTTGCCAGAGGCCGCCGGCATCTTATACCCAAGGCCCGGCCCGGCCTGACCTGACTCGATGAATGACGCAATAAAGCACATGGCAACAGAAAAATGAAAATGCATTTATTAAGAAAACAGTGTGCCGTCCATCCCTGTGGCTTTTTTTTTTTCAATTGTTGATAAAATTCGAGACTGAGTGCAAAAGCATTCACAAACTATCATGCAGAAACAAAAAGTTGTACATCAATTCGGGCTTCAGTGTAGTGCGTCGTTCCTGCATTACGTATCCTGCAGCACTGAAGTTGCGCTCGCTGCTGGCGCTTGTAGCTGGAATCGCCAAGATCTTTCTTGCAAGTTTGGCAAGTTTCGGATAGTTCTTTTCTTTCCCTTTCCAAATCTCAAGAAGTTCTGATTCGGAGCACGCGCTTAGTGATTCAGTACACAAGTACTTGCTAACTTCATCCTGGGTTTTCTCCAAAGAAAGCACACATATCAACAATGAGAATTCCGGCACGTTATCTATTTTTCTGGCTTGATTAGGGCTTTTCATAAGGCCCGAGCTTGGCCCGCGGGCCGGGTTGGGCTACCGGAGCCCATGTACATCTTTAGGTAAGACAGCCCCTGAAAATTAAAGAAAAAAAGCCTATTCATGTCTTTAATGAAATGGTTTAGCCCACTCATGTCTTTAATGAAATGCTTTGTGTATTTACATGACAATGGAATTATACTTATTCTTAGTGTTTTTTTTATACAAGTGATGCTTGTGATAAAAAAATCAGTGGTCCCATTGGTGGAGGGGGAGGGGAAACGCTTGCTTGGTTAGTCGCTCTTATTTTGTATCACCCGAAAAAGAGAAGGGGAGGGGGGTTTGAGGGGGGTGCTTCCTTGGCATTTTATGGTAGATGAAAAATACCGGTCACAATGGCGATATATGAAGCGTATGGCTTTCTTTTAGGTAGATTCAATTTTTTGATATTAAATACTTTGTGTGGATTCCATATTCATTGACACATTTGATAGTTTTCTTATGGAAAACTAAGGGAGTCAGGGAGTTACAAAAAGGCACAAGCATGCACCTGACTGAGGCCCTGACTTCTGTACAGTACAATCAATGCTCGGCAAAAGATACAATAAAACAAGACAACAAAAACAATAGCTTATGTAGACAATAAAGTAAAATGGCCCCGCCGCGGTGGTCTAGTGGCTAAGGTACTCAGCTGCTGACTCTCAGGTCGTGGGATTGAATCCTGGCTGCGGCGGCTGCATTTTCGAAGGAGGCAAAAATGCTGTATGCGCGTGTGCACAGATTTGGGTGCACATTGAAGAACTCGAGGTGGCCGAAATTTCCTGAGTCCTCGACTACGACGTCTTTCATAATCATATGTTGTTTTTGGGACGCTAAACCCCACATATCAATCAATATAAGTAAAATGAATAACATAAGTGACGGAAGTAGCATAAAGAACAATAGAACATATTAAACCTGCAGCTGTTGGCACCAACATCAACAAGATACAAGAAGAAGAATGTATTGATTATATTTGCAGATTTATCTTTGATAAACTCTTAAAGAAGGCGATTCTTTTCTTATGTAGTATAGTTGATTGTTTGCATTCAAGAGCCAAAGAATCTTGTACCTCAAGGATTATGTCCCATTATTTGTTCTTGTCTTAGGCAGTTTATAGTTAATCACATGTAGGTTGTGGTCTGTAGTTGTTTGAAGATATCTGGATGCAAAATTTGTCCAGTTTTCTTTAATTCGCATAAACATATAAAGTGAGACCCTCTCTGTGCAAGGAAGATTTGGTGGAACTAATTTATGCTTAAATTTATATTGCCATGTTCCTTCCTCAAGTTTTAATATCGCCCCGTTAAACTGTACGTAATCCTCAGTGCAAACCGCGCCTGCAGCTTTCGAGAAGCTTCGGGACTGTAGAAGATCATTTCGTTAAGATTACGTCCACTTCGCGAACATTAGAGAATATTCTGCAACACACGCAGCCGCTAGCGATAACTCTAGAATATTTGATAGCACATGTATAAATGTTGACACGCTTCATCGCTTGTCAATTGATCGACGGCCGACGCTCACTTTGCCGCTATCAGTGCCAGTGTCTTGCTGTAATCTGACTTTCCTTTAACATGGCCGCAAGTTCGGCCAAACAAACAGTTTAATCTTCAACCTACTGTTCTGCTCCCTTCATCTGCTCCCTTCTTCGACATCACGACCCTGTGACAATATGGTAATGTGGTATCACTGAAAGGGATGCGTTCAAGAGCTCGGAACGGCTCGTTCTTGCAAAACTTCTAGTTTACTTCAAGAGCCAGTCAACAGGCTTCGATTTTTTTTTTACATCCCCGAAAGAAGCTCTGCAATTTGTAGAGTAGACGTGGTGATTACGTTTTTCGAAAAATACAGCGCTGCGCACGTCGCAGAGCCTCCATTTCGAAAAACATTTCCCGCGCTCCTTTCTTATGCCTGACCAATCCTCCTTTCACGTGCAGTGACACAAAGTCGCCGATCGAGCAACTTGACGCTGCATGCAGCTTGTCAGTTGGTGTAAACCAGTCACGAAGATGAGCTACACCTTCACCTCCCTCTGAGGGAGAAGGATGGCGAGGCCGCACAAAAATTTGGAACCAGCATTAACCGATGTTCTCACCTCTGTAACTTCCTTAATATAGCACATATTCGCGATATTCTTGTGGCGTCATGTTCACAAAGCAAAAGTGCACATATTTCTCTTTATAACAATTTTTGGACCTCGAGTTTGTTTACTGGCCCTTTAAATTAGTTTGCGTACTAGATCCCCAGATCAATAAGCAGTAGTGCAGATGTTACTGAGCTACAGCATGATATATAATTGGTTTTAGTCTATTAGGAAATAAAGATCCCACTTTCCACATCCGCAGTGCACCAACTGTACGAGATAGTTTGTTATGGAGGTCAGATATGTGTTCATTTACAATAAATGTTCTTAAAAAAGTACTCCTTAAAACTTAATAGTGCTTGTCTTTTTAAACACTGAGTCTTGGAAACGTAGGTTGATAGCAGTATTTATACGTGTCTTGAGCTCTGAAAATTACATATTTAGTTGTTTTTTTGTTGTATTTAGCTGTAACTCATTTGCATCTACCATCAGGGAAATTTCTCTCAGCCATATATTTGCTTTTATTTTTGCACCTTCCAAACTTCTGCTGTGAAAAAATATGCTAGTATCATCAGCAAAAAGTACTATTTTCTCAGTGGGCGGTATATTGCAGATGTCATTCACATACAAAACAAATAAAAGGGGACCCAGCAATGAGCCCTGTGGAACTCCTGTAGTGATTAGATTATGGTCTGAAGAGCAGCTGTTTACTGTTTAGTACTGTTTACGATTTTCTTGATAGCTCTTTACTAATAGATGAGCCTGGCCCCTTATACCATAATAAGATAACTCTGCTAGTAATATCCCATGAATAACAGAGGTATCCTAGTCTTCTAAAGCAACCACTGCACATGACTTTAATGTGATCTCGCCGAGACGAATCATTAGTAAATGTAATACTGAGATATTTGTAATTAGACACATTTTCTAAAGGTGAACCATAAACTTGCAAAAGAAAAAAAAACCTGCCATGATCCACTACTGGATGAAGGCCACTAATGATGATCTCCAATTAACCTAAATGCAAACTGGTTCTATTTTGTCCCTGAAAATTTTTTTATTTCATTACCCCTTCTCACTGTCTGTTGACCTCTGCTTTGCTTCCCATACCTGGTTACCCATTTTGTGACTGGCCACTGATTACTAATTCTATGCAATACGTAGCTACCCTCCTCCCTTTCCTATCCAGCTGGCGACTTACAGCTCCATGAAGAATGTAGGAAAGATGGACTAGATGTGTGAAATTTTGAAAATTTCCTTTTTTTTCCGACATGCAGCCAGTACTGGTATTTTTTGTCTGATTTTTTTTTGCAGGAGTGGGTGACAGATGCATGACCATGGTTTAAAACTTTTTTTCTTACTTTTATGTTACAAATACTTGTATAAACTGTTCACTGTTGCTGCAGCTGTATTCAAGCTGATTATGAGTATGAAAAGAACATGAAATGGGACAAAAGTGATAAATTGAATATCATGACTGATCACTTTCTATTGCACCTGAATATGGAGGAGCATATACTGAAACAACCAGTAACATTGCTTTCTCGATCAGGAGGAGCACATACTGAAACAACCAGTCACATTTCTCTCTATGTGCTTCCACAATGCATACTCGATCAGGATTCGTACTTTACAGCTTTCCTCTCCATTACTTCTATGTTAACTCTTATAAGCAATTTGCATACCAACATGAGTGAGTGGCTGAATCATTTGGCCAAACTGTTCTTATTACTTCTCAATTGTACAGCTATTTTAGTAAAATATTACTATTTATACCTCTCAAGTTGATTAATTGCATCCTTGGATCAGCCCCCTTGCATGGCACATAACAAATTGAACTATTGTAAAACCAAGGCCAAAGTACTAATTCACATAGATTGTGACTTGGGTCAATGTGTTTCGTACCCACATGCTTATATTACACATTATTGTGGATTCACAGAGTGAATCAGCCCTTCACATTTGCCTGCCCAAGAAATAAGGCTTAGGATAGATGTCTATGACCAGTGGCATAGCCAGGGAAAAGCTCACACCAAGACCATACCCCCCTCCCCGCCCAAGAAACACTTTTCTACTTGTGCCGCTATGACTGTACTGTACTTGAACTCCAGGCCATACATGATGCCAGTGAGGCAGCCTCATTATTGTCAGGCCTAGTGTCATTGAACAGGTTAAGTGAGTCAATAAAGCTAGGTTAATCTTGTAAAGTTAGCCTAATGTTCACAAGAACTAAGCTCTCCGTGTTATTCTACACTGAGTACAACACAGTTCTGACAACCTCGGTGTCATGGTAGATCGTAAAATGTGTTGGAGAAAATTTACTATTTTTCTAGGCTCGAAAATTCTTTCAGATATGAGACACATACTGTTAATCACGTACGTGCCTTCCATCTCAAAAGGGTGAATGATTTTTTTTTAAGGATAGGATTACCCTGTCGGAAGCCCTTCTGCCAGTATCTGAAAAGTCTTTGTTGAATCTATATAATCTTTTTAATTTACCAAGATAGAACAAAAAATATTCTTGAGGAGCTCCTTGGCTAAAAGCCCCAAATAACAGCTTGACGGGGCCCTGGGCACCATTTACTATGCAACATATGATGTAATACACAGATAAGGGTCTTTGTATAAAGGTTCAGCACATAGATGATATCACCTGCCCCAACTGTATGAGCCTAGCACAATATATACACTCAAACCTCGATATAACAAACTCAGGTATAACGAAATATTGGTTATAACAAAGTAAATTTTTGCCATAAATATAGAGTTGGGAATAAACCTTTATGAGAAATTTTCAGACATAATGAACCTATTTTTATGCAAGAGACAATTTTGTTATGATGAGGTTTGAGTGCATGTGTACCTCCTGTTATGGATTTTTGTAGGCATGGGACGTGTATTAAACCCCTTGCTTTCATTGTCGATGTCCGCAGTGACAGGCATGCTGGCTTCAGCAAGTGCAGTCAAGATCACTCTAATTATGAAGCCTCACTAGTCTTTTACAGAATGACAAGACTCTACTCGGAGCAAGAAGAAAATGGCATTAGTATCTTCTAATTCTATTTTCAATGACAGATGTGCCAGTAATGTGTCTTGAATCACTGCATCAGATGTATGAAAAAAGTGTAAATTCAAGGGTTTGCTTTCTGTTGTTAGACACAATATTAATGAAAACTGTGATGTCAAGGATTCCTTGGCATCATTGTCTGTTAGTTCTCATTAATATTTCATCGGATGTAGTGGTATAATTTAAGAAGTGTGTGTTTGCGTGCATATTTGTGTGTTCAATTTAGTGTGCCAATTTTGTGCTTTTCTCCTCCTTACTAGCCCTCTTCTTGGAAAATGTGGCAGAACAGACGTGTGGAAAAGAGGTGCAACTCTCTTGTGATGACTCGACGAGTCATTGCATGCAAATGCTCCTGAGTAATACCAGAAGCATCAGTGTACTGACTCGTTTCATGTCCTCATTCTTGGACAATGTTCATTTGATGTGCACTCATCACATTGGAGCCTATGTGATACAGACCCTGCTTGAGGCTTCATTGAAGTACCTACAGTCACCCTCCACCGTAAGTCAAACATATGTATGTTGTGCACTGTATATTGTACATGTTTTGAAAATTAAGGCAAGGTTATTGAATTATGCTACATCCTTAGACAGCGATATTAGGGCAGATTCATCAGTTATGGGGGTTAATTGAGGTGGGGTTAATTGAGGTATTGCAAAAATTTTTGCAATAAAGTTTGCATACAAAAAAGAATGAAGTAAGTTTCGATTAGATATAACTTCATAGCACTTTGGTTTGCACTTGGCAAACAAGCATCGTGAATCTAAAGAACGTGATCCATCCAAAGCAGATCCGAAGCCTGTACTTCCCATAATTCCAATGGGGGTACAAGTGCTGTTGAAGAAGCTCGCATAGACATTAGCGCCAGATTCTTCTCTAGGTATTATCGTATCAAACTCCATGGCATGAGCCAACTAGCCCCTCAAAATGTCCTTCTGCTTAATTTTACTTGCCATTTCTTGCCATGGCAAAGAAAACGTCTCATGGAGCGTGAGTTACCCCAGTGAATTCTAATAGACCTTTTTCAAGCAATCTCAGAATCGTATCGGGTGCGCAGAGCACTATGGGATAAGTGTGAATGTTGAGCGAGCCGGCTTCTCCGTCGCCTGCTCGTTCGTTAGCTATTCGTTTTCGCTGTGGGAGCATGAAACAAAAATAATATGCTGCCTCTTGTTGACTATTTTGTACCAAACATGACCAATTGCACCGTCATGCATCTCTACTAATGAAATGTGAAAGGAATAACACAGTCAGTCAGTGTTGGTATTACCGAGCACTGGTATATCAGATGTAGCAGTTAAGCGGCATGTGAGTTTTCGCATGTCGATACATGTAGTTGAATGAAGTACTATCCTTAGCAGTGCGATTTGGAACACCAAATTCATGTTTATGGGGTGAGTGTTGTGTTTTCAACGCCAAAAAAGTTTAGTCGCATTGGTCGTGCAGTGCAGAAATAGTTTCAAGGGTCCCCTGTTGGCAATGAAAATCGCTGTCAAAGGCATGTCAAGTGCTTTGTCCATTGTTGTGTAGGCATTATTCGCGAAGTTCCTCTTTCATGTGCTTGCAAGTACATCGGCCAGACTGGTCGATGACACGTGCCGCAAAAAACGTAAAAATTTATTAAATGGAGCCGTATCATTTCACATCGCATTGTCAGTAATGCAAATGTAATTCCACTTTTGAAAGCACAGTAATTTTGTACCGTCACCCTAATCAGACCGCATGAGGAATCTTGGGAGACATACCATATCGTGAAGAATGTCACACTTTGTAAGTTAACCTTCTGTATTATTACTAGACAAGAAATTAAACTCTATTAATCGACTTTAAATACTCACCTTGGTTGTTTGAATATTTGTGCCTTTTTATGAATGCATGGTGCACCTCCGTTTTCATTTACGTTTTTTCACACATGCAATAAACTTTCTGTTGAAGGCGATCATTATGGTGTATGTATTTTTTTCCTTGTTCTGCTTTTTTTTTTTTTGCAGCTTAAGTTTTATTGCAACCTGTAGTTATTCCATTCTGTAGCCAACGATGGTTGGTAGGCACTTATCATTTGTTATCTACTGTGGACCGACGCGCACAATGTCTAGTTGTATCTTATTTTAGTAAATGCTGACTATACCTTCTAGCATACTCTTCACTATCAGAACCTCGCATTGTGTTGTCAGCAGTGTTGATGGGCGGGGATTCCAAATGCACTCGCCAATTGTAGACCGCTCAAGTACTTCTTTGGCAACCAAGTTCTTTTTTTTTTCAATGCCGTATGCCATGTTGGGGAGAGAGAGAGAGAAAAAAAAGGCGACGCTTTTGAATCGCTCAGCTGGTCAAACAGTTGTACAAATAGAAACCATAGAAAGGCTGTCTCAGCTAAATACTGTAGTTCAGGATCGAGGTACGCAGTAATATGTTGCACTTAGCTTAATTCACATTATCTGAATGGTACTGGCACAGCGCTAGTGGAAAGCTAAAGTGTGAGGCTCTCTGGTGAGGCCTGTACTCTGGTGAGGCCTGTACTGTCTGCCGCACTCATTAAGACGGCTGCTGCAGCGTACACACTTTTCTTATAAACGCTTTCGCGCCCGTTGGTGGCACAGCTGTGCTTGAAAAAGGTCGATTGACACCCCTGTTATTAAAGATAAGGAAAGTGTAATCTTACTTTGGAGTATAGTTAACAGGTAGTACTAATAAAAAATGGTATTGTTTATAACATAAAAGGGAAATGTGTCTTTATAGAAGTAGCAGTCACTGTATTGGACCTTGAGAAATGTAATTCACACAGTATGTATTGCTATTGGGCCAGCATGATAGCCACCTGCATGGATGCAGCCATGTTGACACTTAGTGCCACATTTCTGCCTGGCATTAAGATCCGTGTTCGTATTGTAAACCTAAAACTCATGAAAGTGTCCAGCATCCTGCTGGCGCATGCCTTTCTGGCACGGTCGTGGCTGTTTCGCACCACTTCTACAGCACTTCAGCACTGAACGTTGCACCACCACCATTTATAGATGACAGCACCATTACTGTAAGATAGGGAAGCATATATTACACATTTGCACATAAAATTCTGTGGGCATTTTCGGGGTAGTGGTGAGTGTTGTCTTATCTCCTTTGCTCAAATATTGTGGAGTTGGCATTTTAATTACCCGGTTGGGTAGCTCAGTATAGTTTTTTTCTGAACTTGCTCATGTGTTCTTTTGACTATGGGTAGAACACTTAAGTGCTATAAAGGGAGCCCTAAGGGAGTCCAGAGACAATCTTACTCTTTTACTGTTTGTCCTGAATTAAATTTTTGTGTGCTAATAACATGATTTATTTATTGTTTTGCCTTCCAGTACATTGCATCTGAGGGAGAGTGTGAGTATACTGATGCAAGGAAAAGGCATGGCATTGATACAGCAAAGAAAAGGGCTGTCGAAGGCAAGAAACGCTTGGCTACTTCTCAGGACAGTTCGCAAGACATTGACACTTCACACGTGACGAGGCTGGCGGGCTGCCATGACAAGGTATATTTATATTACCGCTATAACGTTAAAGAGCTCTTTTCGCAAAAATTCTCCATGATTGAAAAATTTAGAAAGATAAAATAAATGATAAAGATGTCCAGGTCCAAGTGAGGATCGAAAACCCAGGTTGAAACGCGGGCGTTTTATCTCACAACCACGCTTCTGCTTGGATATAAGATGGAAATAACCTGCTCTGCTTGGAAGTGCAGTGAAACTAACTTTGCCTCATAAACATGCACGCCCTGTATGCAAGCTTCACCTACAACATGTAATGACGCAGTAACATTGCATGGTACAAGGGTACATTGCCATCGGGCATCAGAACTATCATAACGACTTCGTGGTTTAAAGCCGGCCACCCATTACAAAAGGTACACACATTACTGTGCGAATTCTCTTAAAACCACGTAGTGACTGCATGACAAGTTCATAAACATTTCACGTGCTCATTGTTTAAAGCATGCTACCTATTACACAGAATGTAGCCATATGCAAAAGCTTCACTGACACAAGCCATTTTCAACTTTATCAATTACATTGTAGTAATCCACAGTTTAGAGCTCTCGAGTAACATCATACAATAAAACGTATGCGCTAAGTGGTTGAAGTATGCACTAGGGGCAAGATATCGCTGTTGCGTTCAAGTCTTAAAGGTGAAACTTAAGGCTCCCTCAATTTTCTTTTAAATCACATGTAGTAAATGCTCTATAATGAGTGCTGCTGAGATACTAATTGAAATTTAATAACTACTTGGCCTTGTTCTCATTTGCACCTAAAAGGCCCCTCACCTGGCCTATTGAAAAATTCTTTTTATGCACTGGAACATATAATGTTTAGGAAGAGTTTTGTATAAATTGTATTGCATGTTTGTTCATTATTAGCGAAAGTAGAAAAGCTGACATGGTCACATTGCCTTACCATCATTCTCTTTCTCTTGCCCCTTTGACAGTAGGGATGAGATAACTAGGTGTGCAGAAAAATGAGGCTAGGGAAAGAATTTGCTGCCATGACAAAGACATGGTGCCTTGATTGAGCATTGGTTCCAGCTAGAGCACGAGATGTTGACTTGGTTACCAAGAGTGTTGGCAGAATTTTGTCTTGGGGGATAGGGGTGAACCCGTGTTGTATAGCCAGCATTGCAATTGGGAGGGGAGGGGGGGTGCTTGTGTGGCTTGAGGGGGGCAAGTGGCCCTTTTTCACCCCCTTGCTGATGCCCATGGTAGCTACTGTGCATGTTTAGCTTGCCTATAAATTAAAGGCATATTCATGAGAGTCCTGTTGGTGCAGTCAGACTACCATTTGAATGGTACAGTGCGGTGTGACAAATTTGCTAAATGTATGGAGCCACCTTTTGTCAGCATTGGCAATGAGGTAGCGTGCATGACCACAGGTGATGATGAACAATTCTTTGAGATCAAATTGTGCAAGATAACTGTTGGAGGCTCTGGCATTGATATGGGTCCCAGCTTACATACAAATCCTTACCATTTTCTTTTACAAGTTGTTAATTTTTGGCCTGCAAAGACACCAGAGGAGAATTCTGAGCTATATTAATTATATGTATTTCAGTGCCAATGAAGTGGTTACCTGTTTTTGCTTTGAAAGTGGGCTTGATATCCAAAAACAGATGCGTAACTGGAGGAGGTAATGACACTACCTTGACATTCATGCACCAGCTCGTTGAAATGTCACGAATTTTCGCAGCATCTGCTTGAGTCTATATAATTGTCTCTGTGTAAGGAACTGCATTGAGTATTAAAAAAAAAAGGATCAACTGCCCAGCCTAGTAAGATTTGACTTTTATTTTGACAGAGCATTCTTATTAAAAGAGAATAGCAGTACCTTTATTTCTGAAGTTTTGGTAACTGAATCTTTGGAGTGACATTCAAAAATTAAATTTCGTTTTTTCTATTCCTCATTGTTAATACATTTTGGCCAAACAAATAAAATGAGTTGAAAGGCTTGTCTAAACTAATTTGGTCTTGCTGTTTGTGTCTTCATAAGAACAAAATACTTTTGTCTCATCATGCAGCCATGCTATTAGTTTCATGTATATGTCATTTTGAGTCATTTAAGCTACACTTACACCACAGTACTAATCTGAAGGTTGTACACCTGCTGCTCGTGCATAAAGATGGTCTAATTTTAAAATCTTGTTCTCTAATGAAAATGCAGCTTACATGGCTCCCCAGTCACATTATTTGCATAGTTTGGAAGTGTATACTTGCTCAGTTATTATTCTTGCTGATGCAACTGTGTCTTTGCTCTACCTCATTATATCTAACTTTTTATTTTTGGCGAAGTATTGCTAAATGAGACTCACCATGTCCATGCAGTATATGCATGAAACTTTGTAACTCACATGGAAACATGTTTTGCCAGTCGTTACTTTCATATTCACTGGTTCTATAGAACACATCTTCGTCCAGTGAGAAGGTGCAAGATCACAAGAGGCTTAAGTCCGTCAAGAAATGCTGCATTGCCATCACAAACTTTGAAAGCTACGTGATGACTTTGTTTACAATGTGAAATTGACTTGGGCTAGGACATGAGAGAGTGGAAAGAGCACAGATGAGAACAATCATGTCCTACAACATTCTGGCTACCTCTATGCCACATTTGACAGCTAGCTTTGCTTGGCAGTAGTGAGTGATCCCTCCTCATAATATCATTGTCCTCGCTCTGGACTGATGCGGCAACGTTTTGGCTAACAGACCTCAAAGGTAACACTTGCACTTCTCGAGCCATGTAGGCTGATGCTACCTCTCAAAGAAGCAATAGTTTGTGTGGCTCTTAAACATTACAAGGAAGAATCCCTCTTTCATCATCTGCATTCCTTTTTTTTTTTTTCTACATGGCTTTCTGTAGCTGTCTTACTTTGACTGGCTCATGAATTCTAAATATAATTGACTATTTGAGTATAATATAATCTTTAAAAAAACATTGTAATAAGCATTTGGAGTGTTTTTTTTTTTTTGCAGGTTGTATCTTGGGTACTAGCTGTAGGACGCTTCTGCTTGGAAAATATAAAAGAGTTTGTCTTCAGCGGAGTGCCTACGCATGTAATTCGCAGCATTGTACAAGTTTTAGGAGGATGTTATGTGGAAAAACATCTTTCACGACCGCAAACAAGCAAAAAGAAACAAAAAACAGGTATGCTGGCTTTCTTTAAAGACGATAGTCTCTCTTGGGGACCTTCGACAGAAAAATTTTGGTCTGCCTGTCTGCCTGTTTGTCTGTGCATTTGTCTGTTTGTCTGCTCTTAACGATACCTCAAACGGTTGACCCCATCCGCAGCACCCACCAATATTGTTACGGGAGAATAACTTTACTTTATAAAACGAGGAATAAACTCGGTGGTGGACAAGATGGCGCCCAGTTGGCTCACAGATCTGACAACATCGTCCTCTTCTTTGTCTTCTTCGTCGTTTTCATCCTACCGTTACATGATTTCCCCGGCGGCTGGAGCACCGACCCGGTGCTAATCAGGAGGCACTGGAGTAATACGGTTTGAGTCGCGTAACATGCACTACGTCAGTGTGAGGGTGAAGGATGGCGGGGTCCGTAGGGGTGATTTCGTATGTGACGTCAGTTACTTGGCGTAAGATACGGTAGGGACCTGAATAGCGTGGGAGTAACTTCTCCGAAAGTCCAACGCGGCGCGAGGGGAACCATAACAGAACGAGATCTCCGGGTGTGAAGTGGACGTCACGATGGCGGGCGTCGTATACGCTCTTCTGATTGTCCTGGGAGTCCAGTAAGCGTCGTCGAGCAACTTGGCGTGCCGCTTGGGCCTTCATTATTGCATCACGAGCGTACTGAGACTTGTCATTTAGTCCGGCCGGCAGGAGGGTGTCGAAAGGTAGCGCAGGGTCACGGCCGAACAACAGAAAAAAAGGAGAGAACCCAGCGGTGTCGTGTCTGGAAGAATTGTACGCGAATGTTACAAACGGTAACGTAGTGTCCCAGTCGCGGTGATCGGCGGAGACATACATGGAGAGCATGTCGGTGAGAGTGCGATTGAGGCGCTCCGTTAGACCATTTGTTTGTGGATGGTAAGCAGTCGAGAGCTTGTGTTTAGTGGCGCAGGAGCGGAGGAGGTCATCAACCACTTTGGAAAGGAAGTAGCTGCCTCGGTCGGTAAGGAGTTGTCGAGGGGCGCCATGATGTAAGATGACGTCCTCCAAAAGGAAATCGGCCACGTCAGTTGCACAGCTGGTTGGAAGGGCCCGTGTGATCGCGTATCGGGTAGCATAATCGGTTGCTACTGCAATCCACCGATTACCCGCAGCTGACGTAGGAAAAGGGCCAAGCAGGTCCACGCCAACACGGTAGAATGGGTCTTGTGGGATGTGCAGTGGCTGAAGACGTCCGGCCGGAGGGGCATTTGGTTTTTTCCGTCGTTGACAAGGGTCGCAGGCTGCAATATAACGGCAGACGTCGCGGTACATGCCAGGCCAGAAGAAGCGCCGGCGAACTCTGTCGTAGGTCCGTGACACGCCGAGGTGACCCGCTGTAGGTGCATCATGAAGCTGGGCGAGAACAGTGTGACGCAATTGAATGGGAACGACGAGTAGTCTTTCGGGGCCGTCAGGACGCATATTGCAACGGTACAATACACCATCATGTATTTCAAACATTCGAAGGGAAGGGTCGGGCCTCTCCGATGTGAGCCTTCGGATAATACCGTCCAAGAAAGTATCTCGTCGCTGCTCGATTCCAATGTCATGAAACGCGGATAGAGAGAAAACGTCGATAGGAAGGGTGGTTTTAGAGGAGTCGCCGTCTGGAGGGTCGACAGGATACCGGGACAAGCAGTCCGCATCTTGATGCAGGCGGCCGGTTTTATACAGGACTGAGTAATCAAATTCTTGAAGGCGCAGCGCCCAACGGCCAAGACGGCCTGAAGGGTCTTTAAGGGACGAAAGCCAGCACAAGGCGTGGTGATCTGTGATTACTGTGAATGGCCGGCCGTACAAATAGGGACGAAATTTACCGACTGCCCAAACAAGTGCCAAACATTCCCGTTCGGTTATTGAATATTTTCTTTCAGCAGGCGAAAGAAGGCGGCTGGCATAAGCAACAACACGGTCTCGTCCTTGTTGTTTCTGGGCGAGGACTGCACCGATGCCATAGCCACTTGCGTCTGTACGAACTTCTGTTGGAGATGAAATATCAAAGTGGGCGAGGATAGGCGGAGACGTAAGCAGACACACTAGATTTTGAAACGCATCTGCTTGCTCAGGGCCCCAAATGAAGCCAGCGTCTTTTTTGAGAAGTTGAGTGAGAGGGCGTGCTACGTCGGCGAAGTTTTTAACAAAGCGGCGGAAGTAAGAACAGAGGCCAACGAAACTGCGAACGTCTTTGGTACAGGTTGGTACAGGGAAATCTCTTACTGCGCGTATTTTATGTTGATCAGGGCGAACCCCCACGGAATCAACGAGGTGTCCGAGGACAGAAATTTCACGACGGCCGAAGTGGCACTTTGCCGAATTGAGTTGCAGGCCCGCCTTACGAAAGACAGATAAGATTTTCGATAGCCTTTCAAGGTGCGTCGCAAAAGAAGGCGAAAAAACGATAACGTCGTCCAGGTAGCACAGGCAGATGGACCACTTGAAGCCGTGCAACAGAGCGTCCATCATACGTTCGAATGTGGCGGGCGCATTACATAAACCGAATGGCATCACTTTAAACTCGTAAAGGCCGTCGGGAGTGATAAACGCCGTTTTCTCACGGTCCATGTCATCAACGGCAATCTGCCAGTACCCAGAGCGGAGGTCAATGGAGGAAAAATATTTTGCGCCGTGAAGGCAATCCAGGGCATCGTCTATGCGTGGTAAAGGGTAGACGTCCTTCTTCGTTATTTTGTTTAAATGGCGATAATCGACGCAAAATCTCCAGCTGTTGTCCTTCTTCTTTACAAGTACAACAGGGGACGCCCAGGGACTGCATGAAGGCTCGATGATATTCCGAGAAAGCATTTTGTCGACCTCCTGTTGGATGATGCGCCGCTCTGCATGGGAAACACGGTAGGGTCTCCGATGGATTGGACTCGTATCGCCTGTATCAATCCGGTGCTTAACAACGGACGTCTGGCCGAGTGGGCGGTCGCCAAGGTCGAAGATGTCCCAAAAAGATGCAAGCAGGGAACGCAGGTCGTTAGCTTGTTCTTTCGGCAAGTCGGGGGCAATCATCTTGGTTAACACACTTTGGTCTGATGGAGGAGTAGACGAAGTTTTTTCGGCACTCGGGATGCTGTCATAACTTAGAGTGCAAATATGGCACTCTGCCGCCGGCACGATCTCGGCTAGAGATATACCACGAGGGAGGACTTGTGTACATAGTGAAAAATTCACTAAGGGTAGGCAGGATGCATTGGCCGTAATAGTGATGACGGTGTGAGGAAACGCAACGTTGTGCGAAAGCAGGACGTCAACATTGGGGGACACAATATAAACACCGTCTGGGACAGGTGGAACAGGGGAGACGCCTATGTAAGCTACTGTTCGTTGAGGGAGACGCAGGTGTTCTGTAGAACAAAGCCGACTTGGAGGGCAACTTGGAGGATCAACAACATTAGGTAGAGCGAGTTGCACTATACCGGCAGAGCAGTCTATCAAGGCCGAATGTTCAGACAAAAAGTCTTGGCCCAAAATTATGTCATTAGGGCAGTGTTCTAAAACATAAAACAGAACTGATGTGTGGTGTCCGGCGACGCTGACGCGAGCTGAGCACACACCAATTACGGCGACTTTTCCACCATCGGCCGTTCGGACCACAGGAGTTGGGCCAGGAGTAAGGACTTTCTTCAGCCGTGCTCTAAGGTCAGCGTTCATGATAGACACGTGTGCGCCAGTGTCAATGAGGGCTGTAGTAGGTACACCGTCGACGTCAACATTGATAAGGTTCTGATGTGCGGGCAAGGTCAGTAGAGGATTTTGGGATCGGGTCGGTATTGCAGCATCACCTCCAAGAGCTGCTCCCGTCAGTTTTCCGGAGGTGAACGCCGGAACGAGCTTGGGGACGGCGATCGGCGAGATGGGGGCGAGCGGGAGAAACGGCGTTGTGGCGAAGGGGAGCGGCTGGATCGGGGGCGCGAGGAATTCTCAGGCGTTAGCGGCTCTGTTTTCGGTGATGAGCGTGAATTCCAGACAGGTGGGCGATGGGGCGGAGGGTGAGGCCACGGAGCAGAGCTGGACCAAGCACGGCAGTGACGCGAAATGTGGCCTATACGACCGCAATTGAAGCATATCGGCCGGTCGTCTGGGGTGCGCCATACCGCCGGGTCGCGATAATGTGGGCTGGCAGAAAAACGTCGGTTGGGCGGGACAGTCACGGGTGGATTTGGTGTGGCGTAGTCTGGACGATGAATGGAGCAGACGTTTAAGCCGGCGTTGGCCAGTTCTTGCCTCACGACGGTCTGTATGAGAGAGACGGTGGCGTGATAGCTTTCGGAGTTGGGGGAAGCTGACACGAGTGGAGCTGCGGCTTCTATTTCCCGACGGACAATACGGACAACGTCACCGGGACTTTCCGTAGAAGGCAGGCGAGGGTCTTCGCATGTGGACGTTGCAGCCGTGTTTGGAAGCCGGGCAAACTGGTGGAGAACACGGCGGCTCTTCGCTTCTTCAAAGCGCCGGCATTCAGAAATAATGTCGTGGACCGTAGATGAATTCTTGAACACAAGAAGGTGAAAGGCGTCATCTGCTATGCCCTTAATAATATGGCCAACCTTATCGGCTTCGGACATCTGCGAGTCTACCTTGCGGCACAAAGCGAGCACGTCCTGAATGTACGTGAGGTATGATTCGGTGCACGTCTGAACTCGACGTGCGAGCTCGTTTTGGGCGGCGCGTTGACTTCCCACAGGCCTGCCAAATAGCTCCCGGAGCTTTTGCTTGCATAACTCCCAGCTAGTCAGTTCTTCCTCGTGCGTCTCGTACCAGACCTTTGCGGTACCTCTGAGATAAAAAATCACGTTGGCCAGCATGAGCGTTGGATCCCATCGCATACGTACACCCACTCGTTCGTATGACTTCAGCCAGGCTTCTACGTCAATGCCATCAGTGCCAGAAAAGGTACCTGGATCTCTCGGGGGCTCCAAGATGAGGGTTGACGGTCTAGTTGGAGAAAGCACGGACGTAGTTGGAGAAGGCACGGTAGACGGGGAAGGGTCGGCATTGTTGACTGCAGTCGCCATGGGGGAGACCACTAGGCGCCCGCTACGAAGCTCCGTTTTGCGTGAAGTGAGTACCCCGCACCTCCCACCAATGATGTTACGGGAGAATAACTTTACTTTATAAAACGAGGAATAAACTCGGTGGTGGACAAGATGGCGCCCAGTTGGCTCACAGATCTGACAACATCGTCCTCTTCTTTGTCTTCTTCGTCGTTTTCATCCTACCGTTACAATATTGCTCAAGATTCAGGGTTCATACTTGTGTGATTGTCAATTAAAAAGCAATCGTTATGCATATCTGAGTTACCATAACAACACGTCGATGTTTTGTATGTGTGGCTTTATACTGGAGAAGGCACACACAAGTAATTCTAAGGACCGCAACATTAAGCACGCTGTGCTGACAGTGCAACGAGATGCTCAAAAAGGCAGGTGTTACCAATGCTTTGCTAAAATGACACGGTAGTGGCACCTGTCCGACGCTTTGCGTTCTACACCTTATCGCCTCCGAGAATGCCATGCATATTTCTCCGCAGGCACGCACGCCTTCCTTCGTTTTCGAAGATAACTGTTAGATGGCGCTCGTGTCTAACGTGCCTCGATGCACTCGTTCGCCTCCGCTGCACGCTCGAGGCACTCTAATGCAGCACCTCCAGAATACCATTCGCCGATTTTTTTTCTTTGGTATCTTTTCGCACCAAAACAAACTACTAGTAGACTGAAGTTTTTTTTTTACATAATGTAGTTTCACTTAGTGAGAACAGCTATGGAATTTCATGATAAGGAACAGTGTAAAGTGCACGTCCCTGCTTCATTCATCTGGCTGCCTATGCACACCCCTGGCTACGATGATTTACGATGAAAATAAACTTTTATGGCTTGTTTTGTTTTTGTATGACATATTCTAAGGCATATAGCTTAACTTCGGGAATGTTGCAAACACCATTTGTTTTATGGAAATGCAGGCCAGGGCAAAATGCTTGCAGATATATTTTAACAACTTGGAAATTCAAGAAATTTTCAGAAGCTATTTTGTGGTCCTTAATATTGAGTATAGGTGTCTATGAAGGACATCTACTGCAAGGAAGAGATCATTTTGCTTGAAAGCCATTATTATGACTTCTAAACTGCAACTAGAGTGACTTGTGATGACTTGTGTCACATTAGAAACAGCTATAGCTAATGAGTGCAACTTACTTGCTGCATGTGAGTGTTTTATTGAAAGCAAGATGTAATCATTTATAAATTAGTTTCTTCTTATTGTAGTAATCATGTTTTATTGTACTCGAGTGTATACATGTTGATGAGGGAAAAAAAGCCAATAAAACAAAGCAAATGCCACTTAATTATTGCATGTAGTAGGTCCCTGACTGCTAGTTTTACAAAGCCCCCCCCCCCCCCCCCCCCCCCATTCCCACTATCTGTGGTTGTGGCCCTGTTATTTGTTGTTATTTGTAAGACATTCTCATGTTGGGGTGGTCATCACCAATAAACAAATTAGTATGAACCAGCTTCATTGATATAATTCAATGCTGAGGGCCCTTGTGTCATTAAGGAACTTGGTGCTGATTTGGCGGGACAAAACATAACTGTAATGTGCACTGAACTGAGGAAATGCCACAAAGTTGGAGGAAATAGGCGTAATGAAGTGTGATCAGCTTCATTTGAAAGATGTCTCGTGTGTAAGTTGTTTTTGATAAGACAAATTTTATTAATAACTTGTGAAGTGAAGCTTGGTAAAATAGTCTGAAACTGATGATTTTACCTTTCAGATAATATTTTGCATTCTGTTTATGCACTCAAACCTCGACATAACGAACTCGGATATAATGAAATATTGGTTATAATTGAGGAAATGAAGAATATTCTTGCAATAGATATAGTGTTAAAAAATACCTTTATGATAAATTTTTGGATATAACGAACTTATTTTGGTGTAAGATGCGCTTGGTTAAAATGAGGTTTGAGTGTATTGACTCTGGTTAACGGGATGCTGTAGATAAATCACACACTTCACACATTTAGTGTATCGGTAACGATGCTTTACCGGGCGCCCAGGTTCTCTTCCCTCAAACATGGTTTTAATGGAAAGCCAGCAGAGATTTTGAGGAGTGCTAGATACAATGTGCACATCAACGCGTGTGCAAGCTTGTTGCAAACCATGTAACACACCGCGACATGCAGTTTGAAAAAATAAACAATAAAGGTTAAAATATGTTAGGAAGACTGGCAGATGCGTGAATGATGATTTGGATGAATGCTGCAACAATGTTTGCCGACACAACAATGGGTACTTAGCCCTTGATTGCAATACATATAACCTTGAAAAAAAAAAAAAACCAACTGATGAGATCAAAAGGTTTTCAGGTGTAATGCGGCTGCAGCAAGTACAAGACCTAGTTGATTGGCAGAACACAAAAGAGGCCTTCGCACTGCAGTGGGCACAGTGAGGCTAACAATGATGCTGATTCGATAAATAGCAGGTGGTGGAGTGAAGCAGTTCCCATTTAACAAAGGAAATAATTGGTGGAGCTTAGATTTATAGATAGGGCATAAACTGCATCAATGTGTTGCTCATGTGCATGACCAGTAAAAGTTATATGTGTGGTAATCAAGTACCATTTTTATCATTTATGCTATTTTTGTTTTTTCTTAATCTCTTATGTGACATTCTCTTTATATCTTCTTGCATATCTGCAATAAATTTCAGTTGTAAGTCAGCACTTTATCTGTCGTGTTATTTCCTCTTCTTTTTTTTGTGTGTAATTTCTGTGTTACTAACATTTGACATCTATAGTAGACTCCTATTAAACAAAACTCTTTTAAATGAAATTGATGCTTAAATGAAACAACTGCCTGTAATATGTTTGGTTTCGTACTTTAATATTATACCCCTGTTTATCTCTCAATAAATGAGACTCCTCCTAAAGGAAACACATTTTTCTAATCCCTTCAGGTGTCATTTAAAAAAAGTCTACTGTATCGTCAGCTTGCTGGAAGAGGGGCTTTTTTCGCATTAAAGTTGCACACATTCTTGCTACCGTTTGGGCTTATTGCTCCCGTCTCAAAAATGCCACATTGAAATGAAAAACAGTTTGAATGCTCATGTCAGCAACTTTTGGTTATTTTGTTTTACAAGACCTGTTGACTGTACAAAATTCATAGGAAAACGAAAATGGGAAAATGAAAATTAAGCACCAGAATGAAAAAAAAGAGGAAGGGAAAGAACTCGGTATATACCTTCGGTTCCTTCTTCTTCATCTCATTCCAACACTAAATTTTTTGTATGGATCACTTAGTACAGCTTGCTAAGTTCATCCTTTTTATTACAATGAATTCAAATAGGCTGGCAAATGAACACTTAAGCTGTGTTTAGGGGAAACTCTTAAATGAACAGAGAGTTTACTTTATGCAGCCTTTACTTTGTTGAGCATTCTTTTCACATTATTGCCACAATTATTTTACTGACTTTTTTATCATCTTTGAATGCTTCCAGCCTACAGCAGACATATAAAGTAAAGTTGTGCCTCTGTACAATGAGCTTAGTAAGTCTTAGGTTCTTCCATGGTACCTCTGCATGAAGACAAAGAAAGAAAATACTTAGTCATTCAGTGCTTTAGTATGGATGAGATGACCTTGGCATGAGCCTTTGCTTCGATTGGTGTAGTTTATTGGGAATGCATGCAGTAAGAGTACTTGAGAGTACAGAGTATCGAATCAATTGGGGATAAGCACGTTACAAATATATCAAAATGACATTTGGCAGCCCCAAAGCCAATAATAAAGGTATAAGCATGGATTATTTACTATTGGGCAGTGTTGTGTTGAAGCAATTGTAACACGTGCAGAAGGCTTAGATCAGTCAGTACTGCCATGAAAATAAAATAGCGTTATCATCAAATTATATCAAAAAGCCTCATTCCAAGGTTGTTTACCAACTGAAGTTTCAGGAAAATGAAAACTGTGCGCATTGATTCAGAGATCGAAGTGTAGGAAAAAAAAAGAAGCGAAATTCAGATTTCTTAAATACAATGATCAAAGAAAATCACGAAATATAATTTACGCAAAAAAAAAGAAAAAGAATGTATGCTCAAACTGGTGTGTGGTTACGTCTAACCTTTACTACCGAAGTGTAAAACCAGTATAAAAAATGAATTAATCTTTTAGTTTTGTAATAGCAGTTTTTCTAAGAGGTCACACCCATTTTCTTTGTGTCATCACTTCAATTTTTTTATTCACAAAATAGGATTCACAGAGAATTAGTTAATTGTATTAAATCATTATAAAAATTTCTTAAAAGTTGACATGCTGTTTAGAGAATCCTTCCATCAAACACCCTTTGTCTGTTCTCTTCCTGGTTATGTTGTAGGCTATTTTGCAATGCTCAAGGTCAAGCAAGGAACGTTACTATCGTATATATATGCTATTCTGCTTTGCATATGGTCCAAAATCTGTTTTATATGTGGCAGTGGGCCCAGTTTACTGTCAAAAATGCCAAAAGATTAATGGAGTGCATTTTTCCTTTGTTTTCTGCTTAGCTATAGAGCAACAGAAAAAAAACGTTGAAGTTGTTGATGTTCCTGAAGAGTATGATGAACTCTTTGGGATATATGTTGAAACTATAAAAACAGAGTTCGACATGTTCGGTAAGTGCATTTTGTATAATAAGCAGTGTAACCTACTGGGATTGCTGTGGTAGCCATTTGTTATGATGGTGGATGTGTAACAGTCTAATACATTTTGAAATAAGGTAAATGTCTCCTTAGTAAAATGATAGCTAGTAAGAGCTTGCTGTGCCAGTGCTGAGTATAAACTCACTGTGGCACGTCTGGCTCTGTGAATGCACAGTGAGGAGCAATGGAGACAGGTCACTCGTGCCAGGAAGTCCTCTTGCAGATGAATCGTGTTGTACTGCAATGTAGTGTTGTGTATATTTTGGTTTGAACTGTGCATTCTAATCTACCTGCAGACCTCTTTTGGAATTTTAGAAGCATGGCTCTAAGGGGATTGCAGTTGATCCTGTGAAACCTTGTTTGTTTGATTTAAAAAGTGCAGTACTGTTTGGGTGCTGGCACAATGTTTCCACTTCCGTAGTTTAACACAACGACAGAATAAGTGTGACCTTATACCACTGAAAAAAGTGCTGCCTTATTTGTAGTAAAGTACAAAGAATTCATTAAAGAAAGCTTTTGAACAATGGCATTGTTTCGCCAACTATACAGTAAAAGCAAAATGAAAGTGGGTGTGCTTTGTTTGTCCAAATTACTTTGAAAATGGAAATATTTCCATGTAAAAAGTGAGCATTCACAAATTCTTGTCAAAAAGCTCATTAGAATGTGTCGTTGGGCTAGTTGGTTCATGCTGAAGGAAGGTTAGGTACGCTAACGATGTAAATAAAAAAAGGGAACAGGATAGAGCATGAGCTTGCAACTTACTTTAAAAAGGCTCTTTTTATATACGTGCAGGCATGTATGCAGTTGTGCAGTACAATGCTGAAAAAATTTCACATGTATCACATTACTAAAACGAAGCATTAAATAATTTAGTTTTTGCTTTATGCAGGGTGACAGACGTGTCCCTGATGCACACATTTCATTTCACACTGATAAAATATCCCTTCAAAAGCTCACGTGCCACAGTGTTTTTGCTCCTTCCAAGTATGCGAATATTTGTAAGGTCCGTCCCACATATGCAGGATTTATATTGTATAGGTAAATGGGCACTGATTTTATTTTTAATCGAAAGCTTGTGCTCCCTCTCTTGCCTTGTGAGTAATGCAGCATTCGGTACTATACAGTACTATAAACTATACTACTATGTAGTACTCTAAACTTTGCCTCATGTAAGTGGCATTTCCCAAATGACGCACATCATGCAAGGTACAAACGGCCTTGCATGCTTTTTATCGTGAAGGGTCAGCTTTTTCAGTGCTGCAATGCAGGGACAGAGGCCGGCCAATTTCTGTGGGGCTGAAAAAACAATAGGTAACAATAGGTACTTTGTATCTGTTTGCCACTTTCTTTAAGTTGTGGGAAACTTTATGCATATTATAACTTTGTGCATATATGGCACGACCTGTGGTCTTTTATCCACCAGTTGTTTTGTTTTCCGCTTGCCCTTCAGTTTTTGAAGGAGAGTTTCTGCTACTGCTACCATAACAGAGCAAGGGTATCTTGCTGAATTTAGCCTCTCTACCTGGGGGTTAAAACTTTCCTGCATTTTGTGAGTGCAGGGCCGCATCAATGCAGATTCAGGGCACATTGGTGCTGTTGCCCTTTTAACAAGTGTTATTTGTGCCAAGTCAGTTGCAAGTCGACGCTGTATTCTGTCCCCTTTTATTTTTGTCTTTGTTGTGTCCTTAATCTTTCCTCGAAAAGCACAGTTAACCAGGAGGACCTCGACCTGTCTCAACCTAAATCCAAGACATGCCTTCTTAATGTCAGAATATACAACTCATTATTCATTAATATAATTAGGAAATAGCCCTTGTACCAATAAACACCGTTAGGTCAGTAGACAGTTGATTATGTAGATGTCAGCATTAGGAATAAATGCAACAGAACTTCGATATTATTAGTGTTTAAAACTGACGTCTTTGTCCCTTTCAGCCTTGCGTTACTGCCGTGCACATAAAGTCATGATTACGATCGATAGTGCTTAGAATTAGTTTTGTTGAGCAACTGAAATGACCTTCTGAATGATGTAACTGGCTGGCATTTTTCAGTTCAGTGAACTACAATTCATTGTGAAAAAGTTGTTTGGCTTCTAATCCGTAAAAACAGAAGAGAACAAAGGCAGGAAGTTTGGTGAGTTGTTACGAAGTAATGGTGGAAAAAATTGTATAAATTTAATATACAGAGACAGAAAAGAACAGCTGAAATTTCTGCATTTTTTGTCTTCTGTGGGTACATGTTAAAGTTTTTGATGTTTTTCACCGTAAATTTGAACTGTCACCTATTTTTCTGTCTTGCTATAGTCAATGCGCCATGTATGATCAAGGTATTTCCTGCTTGCTTTCTTACTTATGTGCTTTTATTAGAAAATGGTCATTATTGCTTTATTTTGCAGATATCATGACAAACAATGTGGCATCGATGCTTCTACAAGCCTTGATTCTTATATTGCAATTAAAGAATCCAAAATTGCTATTTAGATTAGTGAAGCATATTGCCAATGCTATCTTTTCAGAATCACCAAGTGATGAAAGGTACGTGTATTGTTATTCTACATTTACTTTGCTGCATTTTCTGGAAGAGCATTTGTGACTTTGTTTAATTTTATACAGTTGGATTGTTAAAATTTTTTTGCTTTGAAATTCTATCATGTGTAATACAGCCCTTTGAGGATAACAGGTAATGAAGCCAGTGAAAGCTTATGGGGCTTTAATTTATTCATGTATTTGTTTCGTTTTATAACTACTGCAGACAAGAAGTTCTTGCACTCTGTAAAATAAAGAAAAAAAAACAATTAACAAAAAACATTAAAGGATCTCTGACACGAATTTGGAAATTTGAGATGCTTGTGTTGTTTGCTGGTCCTGTGTGTGGCCACTTCTGAGTGAATAAAATATTAAAGACGAGCGTTGCTTAGAAGACAATTTAATTTGGTTTTAAAGTAATGGTGCATGCTCATCTGGGTGGGTATTCAGGTGCTGTCGACATTTCCTATGGTTTGACGTAGGTGCCCCCTCGTCATTTTGCTGAGGTCGAGCAACTATTGTCGGCATCAGAAAATGTTTGCGGGGTGCACAATACCCCGACTGGCACCTGGCAAGCACTCTTGTTCATCAACCCTCTTTTTTTCGGAGAAAGACTTGCTCAAAGCACCCACATTGTTCCATTCTTCACCACCTGTGGGCTCATTTGGCGAGTGGCGTCGTCACGGACCCGTGCCGTTGGGGGGTTTCGACCACCTCCCACGCCTAGCCGTGCGTGGCTTAGCCGTGTTCGGAGAAAAAGGGATCCTGAGGGTTGAGCCAACACTGGGTGTTTGGACCTTAAGGCCCCCTTGGCAGAGGCAACACACCCGTTTGGTTCTGGCTTTACGTAGATGGCACCCCTGGGCTGACCCACCCACGGGAAATCGGCAGTCGCCTTTTCCTATCTGTCTCTCTCTCTACATTTTCATCTTTCTCTCTGTCTTTCTCAATGCGAAGCATTTCTTAGAAAACTTTGGCGACTTTGGGCGTATTTACGTATCTAGCTATCGATCCATCCATCCATTCATCCGTCCCCGCCCGCCCGCCTGCCTAGGACTTCGAGCTCTCCTGGTCGTTTCGATAATGGTATTGATGCCGAAATCGGTATGGCATAACATTACTATATACTATATATGCTATTTTTTCTTTTTCTTTATTTGTAACAATCAAGTGGAAAGGGGTAGCCGTTTCCAAGTACTGGTGACAAAAATTCCTTCGTTTATTTTCTACTTCAATAAAAAAAAAGACATTACTTTATGACAAACATAACTGACTTGTCATAACAGGAAAATCATGACATGTATGTCATGAATGTCTTGATTTACATTTCATGGTCTTGCTGCTCTTGCGATGGTTTCATTTACATGACATTTTGCAAAACTGGTGTGGTATGACATGACTGCATGGTGAACATAAGTGACAGATCCTAACGTGGAAATCATGACATGGATGTCATGTAAGTCATGACATAACGCCACACACATGGTGTGCTCGCGGTCGTTCTGCAAGCTTCACATATACCAAATTGGGTATTACGGGATGTGAATGGATGACAAAGGTAAATGACATGTCTAAATGTGATAATCATGATATGTGTGTCATGTGAAACATGATTACATGCCACGTTCATGGCGTGCTCACGGCCGTTTCGCTAGCTCCACATATACCAAATTCGGTATCACGTGATGTGAATGGCCGGTGAAGGTACATGACACGTCCAAGCATGATAATCTTGATATGTGTGTCATGTAAAACACGACTACTAGCTACGCTCATAGCGCGCTCATGGCCGTTTTTCTAGTTCCACATATACCAAATTTGGTATCACGTAACGTGAATAGACGAAGAAGGTAAATGACACGTCAAAACATGATAATCATAACAAGCGTGTCATGTAAAACATGACTACTTTGTACACTCAAAGCGTACTCGTAGCTATTGCGCTAGCTCCAGATGTCACGTCACATGATGCTAAATTTGGTATCACGTGATGCGAACAGATGTTGAAGCTAAATGACACGTTGAAACATGAATATCATGACATGGGTGTTATGTAAAACATGACTAAATTCTACACTCATAGTGCACTCGTGGTCGTTCTGCTAGCTTCACATGTACCAAATTCCCCGTAATGTGACGTGATTCAACGACGACGGTAAATGACACGTCCAAACATGATAATGATTATATGCGTGTCATGTAAAACATGACTACATGCTACGCTCATAGCGTGCTTGCTACCGTTTCACTAGCTCCACATATACCAAATTTGGTGTCACGCGACATGAATAGACAACGAAGGTAAATGACACGTCCAAACATAATAATGATGGCCTGGATCATGGCCATAATAGTCATGTACGGCATAATTTATGTCTGTCCCGTAACATTATACTTATTTTAAAATGATATATCTACCTTCCTACTTCGTGCTTCGCATATCATCAAATCCCCCAGTACGTGCGATCTGCCAATTTTTCATCTTTCCTGTCATCTTCTCTCTTTCGTTTATTTCCAAATTTCCTGGCGGCGAGTGTTAACCTTGTGTAATTACTCAAGCTTGAGTAGGTATATATGGTTGAAGCGGTGATGCATGGCTGGCAACTTCAAGTTTTCCACCTTGCAGCATCCCCTTGTTGGGTTCGGTGGCGGGCGGCCACCATCGCCTGCGAACTTAAGACACTCCGTATGGCGAACTTTTTTCCTCCGTTCCCTGATCGCCACCTGAAAAGGTGGTGCACCGAAAAATCGTTCATATTCCCTGGACCAAAGCAGTCCTTCCCCAAATATCATGTTGCGCATAGCCAAAAAGATAATAAGACAGTCCGAGCAATTTCATCTTTTCTTGTATCGAAAACCCTCACGGAAGTAATTGGCGCTTAAATGCCGTCAAAATGTGAGGCGGCAACCTTCTTCTGGAAGTCCGCGACAAGCTTTATTATGACAACCTCTTCAACTTTGTAGGATTTGGGGATGTCTCTATTTCAGTAGGCCCACACAGATCCATGAGCACAGTCCACACTGTCGTCTCTGATGATGATCTTCTTGAACTCTCAGAAAGGGAATTATTGGAAGGCTGGCAAGATCAGAACACAGTGCAGGTCCAAATAATAGTAGCACGATGAGACGATAAAGAAATATCATAGAAACACATAATTATCACCTTCGGTACCAGTGACACCCTATTCAATTGAAACCGGCAAATGTAAGCTCCGTGTCAGGCCCTATAATACGAAAACCTCGTAGATGTTTCTAATGTCAGCGCTTTGTAAATGGGTCGCAAAGCTGCAGAGGGAGCGCTACTTGCGCAGAATGTGGCTTTTACAAACACTTGTCGTAAACTTGTACCGCAGCAGCCCATTGTGCGAACTGTGAAGGAGACCATCGCGCCTACTCGCGATCGGGCCCATCGTGGAAAAAACAAAAACAAATCCTTGATCTTAAAGTGAAATTCAGTCTGTCCTTTCAAGAAGTCTGTAAACGGTTTTCGCTCCATCAGTCCAGTCCGTCCTTTTCCAATAGGATGTGCTGGGACACCGTGACACGTTTTCTTGTGCTCATGAAAGTCGCACAGAGTGTGATCACGGCCATGCCACTAGCACCCCCAGCTGGAGCAGGCTGTACTGACTACTCCGCCCCATGTCAAACAGGTCCAGCAAACTTCCGAGTCTGCCGGACCACGCTCGACTGCACGCGCAGTTAGGTCCAAAACTACCATGAGTGTGCGCCACCTCAGAAGAGGTGATGGATACAAGGAACTTCTCCAGCGCCTCAGACGCTGAAGGATAGGCACAGCTTTTTGGAGTGCAACAAAAAAGAAAAACTACGCATTGAAGTGCCCCCAAAAGACCCTGTAACCTAAGGCAACACGTTTTGTAAACACAGCAGTAAACTGCATTCAAATGGAGACTTAAAGGGACTGTCTACTGCTCGGAAAAATTGTTCTGATTGTGGCGCCAATGAAAAGATCGTTCATCACATTGCCGGCAACAAGCATGCTTTCTTGCTAGAAAAAAGGAATAATAATTTTAACTTGATGTTGAAAGTCTATAAAAAGTGACCACTAGTGTCACCCAACAGTGAATGTGGTCAATCTTGACAATCTATTGGTAGGACGAAAAATCGTCACAGGCAGAATTATTTTGCTTTAAAACAAACATGTTTAACTTGAATTTGTATCTTATGCACTAGAAGCAGCTTTGTATTGCGCGAGAGACTAATTCTTGCTTTTTTTTAAGCGTTCAAATAGGCGCCCGGTGGCGCTGCCGGCGGTGTGTTTGCTTGCCTGCATGCTTGCCTGAAAACGGCGGAGAAACGCGACCACGGCGTCTGCCGCCGATCATGAGAAGAACAAAAAATTGTGTGCGTGCTTAAAATGGCCACTGAGGTAATTGTTTTATCAGTAACCAAACTTGATGTAGCCTGCGAAAACCGCAAGCGTTCTCAATTTTCGATTTTCACCGGCACCCACCAGTGTTGCCGGCATTGATCCCACCGATGAAAGGAGACATAACACGGACAGAAAAATTCTGTTTTAAAAAATTCTATGCACTTTCCAGAGAAACCGCTGCAAGGTTAGACACTTCACATGGTACGCTTTTTATTGCGACACAAAACAGGAGAGCAATGAAGGACGGTAGACGGTCCCTTTAAATACTACAGTAGAATGTCAGAGGACTGCTGAGAAACCTCGACGATGTCCGAGAACTATTACACGAACACTCACCAAAAGTTCTGTGTGTACAAGAAACACACTTAAAATTGAAACACACGAACTTTCCACACAGTTACATTATTTTTCAAAAGGACCGGGATGAATGATATGTGGTGTTATCCGGTGTTGTTGCCATTATAGTTAATCAAAGAACCGCCTGTGTACATTTATGACTACAGACATTTATTGAGGCAGTAGGCCTCCAAGCCATTGTCTTAAGCTGGTCACAATTTGCTCTATTTACATACCTCCACACCACCAACTCAATAAACACGAATTCCTGTCATTAATAGAG